CCGTGCTGCCCGCCGGGGCCCTGCACGGTTCCAGCATGCGAGGCCAAGAGTGGCTCTGCACCATGGGAAGGGGCCGGACGCGGCGCTGCCGGATAAAGCCGCATTCACGAGCGGAACAAAGGCTTTCCCGCCCGGGCAGCACAGCCACTTGCTGTGGCCCTATTATGAGGGCTCATAATTGAGCTCTTATCCCTGACTCACTTCCTCAGACCCCCTTCCAGCTCCCGCTGCCCCCTGCCCGTGTGCGGTTCAGTCGCAGTGGCTCCAGCTGCATTTGCAGAGCTCCCCCACGCTGACAGCAGCCCGTTTTATGGGGTTGCCACTTTGCTTGAGTGTTGAGTGGCACTCAAGTGTTGCTACTGCTTTGTCTCCACAAACCCTGTCCCCATATTCTCCACATCACCTCCTGCACGCCCCTGCTTCCCAAGCCTGTCTCAGATTGTGTCTGGAGGAAGCCCTCTTGGTCCAGTGACTACAATAAGTAGAGCCGGACCAAAGCTTGAAGCCACGACTGTCACAACAGAGGAAAGCACCCGTTGCACCCCAGCAGGGCCCATCCTTGCACCTACTTGGTGCCCTAGGGTGCCACCATAAGCTGTTGTCACAATCTGACATCTGTTGGCATCAAGCTTGCGCTCGAAGCAGTTTCATAGCGAGGTTTGGTGGCCCTTTCATTGCAGCTTTATTCCATGATCCTGCTCACCATGCGAGGCACTTCCCAGTCCCCCACGTATCAGGCATTAAAATAAAACACCAGGAGAGCTGGAGAGCAAGTGCCCAACCAGTGCTGCCTGGGCATGGGCTCACAGCAGCTGTGAGCTCCTTGCAGTCCCCAAGCCCCAGTACGGTCACCCCCACATTTATCGTTACTGACCTGAGACTTGTTATTCTGAGGGTCAGGACTGCTGCGTCACTTGCGGTGTCTTTTGTTGCACAGTGTTGACAAAGCCTGGAAGGAGCTAAGTAACATCCTCTCAGGGATATTCTGTGCTTCTCTGAACTTCATCGACTCCACCAACACTGTCACTCCAACAGCGTCCTTCAAGCCCCTGGGCTTGGCCAATGGTGAGACACAGCGGTGCTCCTCGAAGGGCTGGCTTTGCGCGCTGCCTTGTCCCTAGCTTGAGCTCTGCTCTGTGCCACTGGTCTGGCAAGGACTCTTGGTCTATCCGTGTTTTCTCCTGAGTCACTTGTCACTGTGACTGTGAGATGTCCCTGGAAGGAGAAAACCTGACCGAAAAAGTATTAGGGGGGACTTCTGTGCTAACTCCCTCTGCGGAGGGGCAGGAGACTCATTGTACTTGTTCTGTCCTCTTCATAGGCTAATTTTGCTGCCAGGAGGTCAGTTAATGCCAGCTGCAGTATTAGGTATCAGGCTGCGGGCATATGTATGACAGGAACCAACTGAACTCCCAGAGGGGCAGGAGACTCATCGTACTTGTTCTGTCTCTTCATAGGCTAATTTTGCTGCCAGACCAGTTAATGCCAGCTGCAGTATTAGGTATCAGGCTGCGGGCATATGTATGACAGGAACCAACTGAACTCCCGTGTGAACTTCCTTATAGAAGTGTTTCCTCTCTCTGCTAATGAGGCTTAGATGTGAAGAGAGGAACCCACAAGCAGCACATACCTCTTACTCCCTGGCCCTTAACTCTCTGAAAAGCTTTTTACAAAATACCTGGTGAAGACTGGAGGATTTAAAGCTCTCCTATATATATATGTATATCTGCTAGGAGATAAGCACTACCTGTTCACTCCAAATCCCTCTAAACAGAGCAAGGCTCCATTCTTCACTGAGCTCATGGCATTCTGGGCAGATTCGGAGGGTGGTTTGCTCTGGGGACATTGCAGGATGATCGGCGCAGGTCTCCTTCCGCTCTCGTGCCCTGGCAGTGTCAGCCCTTTAATGCTCCACCTCTGTGCCCAGGGACGGATCACCAGCTGCTGCGCTATGCCGTCCTGCCCCGGGAGGTTGTCTGCACGGAAAACCTTACGCCGTGGAAGAAGCTGCTACCATGTGGCTCTAAGGTAAGGGCAAGTCTTGCTGCCTTGTTGGGCCACTCAGTCCAGAGCCAGATTCCCCACTGCAACCCACTGTGGTTTAGCGGAGGCTGTGGAGGGTCCTCCTCTCAGCAGGGACAAAGAGCAGCCTGTGGAGTGAAATATTTCCTTCCCTTCCCACAGGCAGGTCTTGCCGTGCTGCTCAAGGCTGAGCGCTTGTTCCACAGCAGCTACCACTCGCAGGCCGTGCACATCCGCCCCATCTGCAGGGTAAGCGTGTGGCTCAGGGGCTCCCTCCTGCGCCTGGCCCTCGCCCCGGCAGCTGGGAACAGAGCTGCTGTCACTCAGCCTGGCGTGGTTCCTGATGCTTTTAAGAATGAAGCAGAGGCTGAATATTAGGCCAGTATTCCCGGTGCCGAGTCCCTGGCAGATTTAACACAGCTCAAGGGAAAACCAGAAACCTTGCTGCTGTGACAGCAAGGTGAGACGCTGCGCTGCCCAGCAGTGGGTTTAGTTTTAACAGAGGTGTGCTCCTGCTGCTCTAACCTTATCCTGACGGGATTCATACACTCCCCCGCTGCGCCTGCAGTAGATGCGATCAGAGCAGCCCCTGGTTCTCTCCTGCAGGATGCCTCCTGCCGGGCGGTTTCCTGGGAGCTCAGGCAGACTCTCACTGTGGTCTATGAGAGCTTTTACAGCGGCCAAGGAAAGAAAGGTGAGCTGGCCCTGGTGCGCTGCGGTCCCTGCAGCCCAGAGCCTGACCCAGCCTGACGCCGACTTTGCCTCCTGCAGACTGGTCCCTCTTTAAGATGTTCTCCCGCACCATCACCGAGGCATGTCCTCTGGCATCGCAGAGCAAGATCTACGTTGACATCTCTGCTAAGGACAAGGTAACACAGTGAATGAGAGAATCTGCTCCCTCTGTTTAGCTGCTCCTTGAGACTCCGGAGCAGTTTTACCTCTGCCCAGACTTGTGCCTCTTTGAGACCTCCCTGGTCTAATGAAGGGACATGACTGCAGTGATTTTATTCCTCCAAGCAAAGCTCTTTGAAGTGCTCAGGATTAGTGCAGTGACGTTAGCAAGAATACAGAGCAGGCCAGTGGGTGGCAAAGCTTGGGGCTAGCCAATTCCTAGATGGGCACTGCCCAGCCCTTCCTACAAGGGGGAATTTTTCCTTGGATGGTCCACTTGCTCTCTCAGGAAAAGGAGTTGCTGGAAGTGACCCCTTCTCCGACATCTCTACATGAAGCGATTGTCCAGGGAGAGAAGAGAACCTATGCAGTCTATGACCTGCTGAGTCCCTCACTCTTCAATACATCTCGCAGCCTCAACGTGCAGCTGAAGTGGAAACAGCCCCAGGACAGCTGTGAGTCACCAGAACTTAATTCCACCTGCACCTTTGTAGAGGGCTCCATGTGTCAGCTTGTGCAGGAGACAGTTGGATTGCTTGGGCCTTGGGAAAGAAGGCCGTTTTTGCTGGGGAGGAGGACTGTAACAGGCAACAGGCTGTCCTGCCTTTTCTTCTTTCACCTCAGCTGGTGTGCTAGGGTCTCTGCCTAGGTGACGTGCTGCTGTTTTGGTGCTAGAGTGATGCCTGGCAGAGCTACAGTTGGCATCGACTCCTGACTCCTGTTTGCTTTTCGTTTTTGCAGTGGAGCTGTCGACACCCATACTCCACGCTCACCGCTACGTGAGCGGATACGGCCTGCAGACCGGCAAAATCAGCACTCTTATCTACAACACTCACCCGTACCGGGCTTTCCCCGTGATCCTGCTGGAGACTGTGCCGTGGTATCTGCGCCTCTACGTGCACACTCTGACCATCATCACTAAGGGCAAAGAGAACAAGCCGAGTAAGCAGTCCCTCCTGGGAACACGTGGTATCCGATTACCTTGGCACAAGCAGCTCATTCCAGAGATGGTTAAGTCCCTCCCTGGCATCCCAGGGATGACTATGAAACTGGACATGAGAGTGGAGCTAGTATAAGAAAAACAATCTTCAGTTCAGCACTCACAACTGCTGAGGCTGAAGAGAATCAGTTTTAAAAGGGCAAAATGGACAGTGCTCCATAATCCAGCAGGGCTCTAAAAGTTGATTACTTTCCAAGGAACCTCAGTTCCACACTGATTATTTAATCTGGTTTTGCATTTATATCTCTTGCCACAAACAGTTGACTTTCTTGGGTCATCAGCTCTTTAGACCTAGCTATTAAGGCCAGATTTAACTTTCTCTCACACTTTTTGCTACCCATGCACCTTTTCTCACCAAAAAACACTTCTACCAGGACAGTAGAAGCAAGATTATTCACCCAGTAGGAAATCTCCAGGCAATCTGAGACTCGGCAAGGTTCCCTCACTGTCTCCAACATATGTCTTTGGGGTTAGGCTATATCCACTACCAGCCGGCTCAGGACCGCAGACAGCCTCACCTATTGGAAATGCTGATCCAGCTTCCAGCCAACTCCGTCACCAAGATCACAATCCAGTTTGAGCGGGCCTTGCTGAAGTGGACCGAGTACCCGCCTGATCCTAATCATGGCTTTTACGTGAGGTAAAGACACACCTCGCATGAGCCAAGGTTCTTGTCTCCTTCTGGGCCTTTTGTAGAATTTGCTGTCCAGAACTCTGGGCATGGGAATATTTCCCACTGTCCCTTTGCTGGCAGGACTGACACTAATAACGACTTTTCCCTCCTCAGCTCATCCGTACTGAGCGCCCTGGTGCCCAGTGTCATTGCAACAAAGGAGGTGGATATGGAGCAGAGTCCTCTCTTCACCTCGCTGTGAGTACGCCCTTCTCCTGGGATGTCCCGAAGGACACACGAGCGGGCTGCAGCTACCATCCTGCCTGGGCTTTGCCAGGCTGCAGAGACACTCAAGTCACTGGGGAGCTGCTGGAGGATGTTCAGCACAGGGGCTCTCACAAGGGGAGCTGCTAGTTCTGGCAGTTCTGGCATAGCTGTGTGCTTGAGTGGCCTTCCTCCTGCAAGGTGCTGCTCTTTTGCAGCACTGGCAGCCTCTCTTGCAGCTCTCCAAGACGATACCAGGGTCAGGACTGAGCCTGACCTCTAAGGGGGTTCATGTAGCTCCAAGATGACCAGCACTAAGCAGGGTCCTGTGTGAGCTGACGCTCCCCTTTGGGCCTGCAGGTTTCCATCCTCTGATGGCTCCAGCTACTTCATGCGCCTCTACACAGAGCCGCTGCTCGTGAACCTGCCAACGCCGGACTTCAGCATGCCCTATAACGTCATCTGCCTGACCTGCACCGTGGTGGCTGTGTGCTACGGCTCCTTCTACAACCTGCTGACCAGGACGCTGCACGTGGAGGAACCGAGCAAGGGGGGGCTGGCCAAGCGGCTGGCCAACCTCATCCGCAAGATCAGGGGGGTGCCACCCCTCTGAGAGCCTGGCGACCAACGCTGAGCATGGGGTGAGAGCCCAAGGGCTCACAGCAGGGAGGCCAAAGGAGCAAAATGCTGCTACCTCTCCCCTCTGCTGCTCCGTTTTGCTGCCTGCATCACTTCTGGGGGTCTCTGCAAGCAGAGAGATCACTCCCAATTAAGAGGCACTGGGGAAACTCATCTAAGCCCTTTGATTACTGAATTGCACGCATGTGGCATTAGGAAAGGTGCAAGTCTACTCTTCTGGAGAGGGGTAATTTATGTGAGGGGAATAATGTTAAAAATAAACTTGAGCTGTTTTGTACATCTGTGCTGCTTCTTGCTGGTTTTGCTTTCTTGGCTCTGCAGAGCCAGCTTCCCTGCCACCTTCCACACTCCAGCTGAGGACTGACAGTCAAAATGTCATTTCAGTGCTAGAGTCATTTGCCATTTTGGTGTCTGTTAACCAGCCTCTAGGCATAAGCGCTTCCCATGTCTGAGAATATCCAGGCAGAGCTGACCCTGGAAGACCTCACAGGCTGCTAAGGCTATAAGAAATCCATCCAAATCAGCTGCAGAGGTGACACAGAGAAGCATGAAGGGGGAAGGAGTATGATTTGCAGAGCAGGCAGATGGTTTAATCTGCTCTCCCCTCCTCAAGTATCCCAAGTCACAGTAGCCTCATATTAGCCAACCAGCACCACTTCCAGGGACACGGATACCCCTCTTCCAGCCTTTACCACACTCAATCCACTCTGCAAATTAATTAATCTGCAGACTACCTGCCTGATACCTAACCCTTACCAAAGGCCTGTTTTGCTTCCCGACAAGCTCAGCTTGCTTTCGTGGCACGCTGGAAGCATTCCCGCTGTTCACCCCTCTGCCACCCGCACATGGCCGATACCTGCACCCCGGGCCGAAAGGGGCACGAGGAGCGCGGGGCAGCCCAACACCCGGCAAGCTGCTGCCCTGGGTGCCGAGGGGAGGCAGCGGGCAGCAGCCCTTCCTGCAGCCTGGGGCCTCGCAAACTGGGTAGCCCCTAAGCGCTGCAGTTAAGCAGAGATTAACGGAGCGATTAGCGTAGTAATTAACACAGCAATTAGCGCCGCGCACGCGTCGCTCGCTCCGAGGCGGGAATCACCTCAGCGCCGCCCCGGCCCTCGCGCATGCGCCGCCCCGCTCGGGCTGCCCGCGCCGCGCCTGAGG